GCTGGTCCATGGAATTAAAAGTTGGCGTATGCTAGGCTCTACACAGCAACACAACTTTTTGGTAAACAATCAAGATGACACAGGCGTTTGCATTCAAACGAATCGGTCTTTTTATTCTCAGCTCATAATATACACTCATTTCAGGCACTACTTGTGACTTCTCTTTATACATTGCTTGCTCAGTGCCTGTAATTATCTACACAAAACCTCGTGTTTGCTATAACAAACACTCAGATTCAACGAGATTTTTGGTCAGGCCGGCGACCTCGTTGAATCCGAGTTCCACTGTAGTAAAAGTGAGGCGACAGTGTCAAAGTTTTAACTATCTATCTCCTGTAAAATGTTATTTTTTTCCCATACATGGCCACTTGCTCCCACATCATCAATGTGTGTTGTTTATTGTTCTATTATATTTTTCGTTGGTTCTTTAACATTGTTTCAGGAAAAAATGGATGAGCTTGCTGAGAAAGGAGACAAGTTTGACATCTGTCCTTTGATGACTCTGTGTACTCTGGAGGTCATCCTGAAGTGTGCCATGAGCTATGATATAGACATTCAGAGAATGGGGTCAGTTTGTATTTATTTTATTTTTTTCTTATGTCTTACATGGTGTCTTTGCCTGAGTTCATTCAAGTGTGTGTGACATTGAACTATAGACGTTGCACACTTTGGACTCTTAGACAGATTTTTATTTTTAGAAATGGTTCTAAGACATGCAAACTAAATATTCTGATAATCCGTGAAAGCGGGCTCTTATGTGAACTGAGTTTTTTACTTAGTGTGCTCTTAGACGGACACCATTGTAGCACTAAAATCTCAGAAGATTTAGTGATTTATTGTTTAAAAACTGAGTGGGGTTTTTTTTAATTTCCAAAATATGGAAATGGGAAAGTTACAATTCATGGTCAGTGGGCAAAGACTAACTGTAAAATGACATTATCTTGTTTGTTAATGTTGTCGAATATTCTAGTGATTATTTCATAGGATCTTTTTATTGAAGATTCCACACCAAAAAAAGGCTCATGATAGGAAGCGATCAAAGCTAACCTATAGTAGCCCAGTGCAACATTTTAAAAGTTCGCATCTTCAGTTACTAGAGCTTGTGACATGTCACATACTATGTGGCGATAAGCTGACTTTTGTCCAAAACTGAAAATGCATGTTTTTTATTATTTGAAATGTTTTATAAGTTTACATCTCATATGATACCTAGCACGGAGCAAAGGTTTGGAAATTTTTTTTGTACTCTTGATTTATTAAACAAGGTCTTGGGGTTTTTTTCATGTCCATTTCACCTTAAACTGAGTTTTCCTAAAGACATTTGTAGTGTACAAAACTCACATCTAAACTGTTTTTTTCCCATTCAAATTAATGTAGTGACTGGATTATACTTTTGACTATTTTAAATAAATAATAAGTGCAAATGAATTGAGTAACAGGCTTTTCACTTGCAGTTGTCAAGTGAGGGCTGTTATTTTTACTTTTGAATATAGTCAGATTTTCTTAAAGTATACAAAAGCATTGTTCAGACTCACACTTTTTTGTTTCTTCATGAACATACCCAGGTATCACCCGTATGCTCAAGCGGCCCAGGAGCTTGGAGAGGCCTGGTCTTTCAGAGCTAGGTATACTGCTTGTCAGTTGTCTTATGATGTCTGTATACAGTGGACATAATATTTTTGTCATGGCAGATTGTGATTGAAACAACTTTAGTTTGATGACTTTCTCATTTTTATTTATGTAAATGAACATCTGTTGATGTAGCGGTTGCTAAACAAATCAATTGCCCTGTAATTCTTTGTTACGTTTACTTTGACGTCAATAGTGTACAATGACAAAGACAGTCTTGAACATTACTACAACTTGTTGGTCGATATTCAGTCTATTAATATAATCTTTAAGAAGATTACATAGATGCAACACCGCTTTTATTGATCAAACTAAGAAAAATTGGGTTACATTGGCACGTAAAGAAGGATACATAAAATAATTTAAAGGTTATATCAAAGTCACATGATAACATAACACACAATATCTCATCCAGTGCAGACAAATAAACGTACACTTTGTTGTTTGTTGCTGCAGTACAGAGCCCAGTTTTTAAGCTACAAATGAGAGATGTACCACCTCTCTATGAGGAGTTGATAAAGATTGTGATCAAACAGGGTCTCCTACTAATCAATGTTAACTTGCAACACAACTACAGCAGCTCCAACATAAAAAATGAGAACTGCACTCTAGGTTTTTTTTTAATGCACTGTTTTCTTTTTTTGCATCTTGCCTGTTTACCTTTTTGCGAACATTTTGAGTTTGCTATATGAGTCACCCAGTGTCATGTGTGTTGTCTGACGTACTCCTGAATGTAGGCCTATGGCAGTGTCTAGCCCATCTCATTTGTGCAATTAAACTCCAATACTGTGCAGTGCAGAAAACGAGGTCAAAGAAGACACTTCAACGAGCTATATATATACATGGATTGTGCTCTGTATATTTTGTTAGCGCAAACAGATGGGGCGTAGCATAGCAGGTTCTGTCTGAATTCTTGTGAAAGGGATGAATGTATTAGCATTTGGACAATTCTATTATTTGTTTTGAGTCATATAGTGAAAATGAAAAGAGATAGAAAGACGGAGGGAGGGAGAGAGAATGAAATAAATGAATAAGAACTATATAGACTGACAATTAAAGCCAAAATATAGTAGTGGTGACTCTTATGGAAATAGAAAGTTTGTCACTTTTGCTGTACAACAAAAGTTCTGTAGTAAGCAAGACCTGCCATCTACTATACCGGTGATTTTTTCTAAGTGCCACTTGTGGAGTCTTTTCAGTCTTAAGGCTTTTCCTTTCGCATGAGTACTCTTAAAAACTAGGTCATGTTATAAAATCAACTTTTTGATGCTTGAATTAGTGCTCACAGCACCAATGTTGAAAAATAGAAAATTAGCTCTCTTTTTTTGCCTCAACAAAGCGGTGGATGTTTTTTTTTCTGTGTTTATTAAAAAAGCTGCAATACCATTTGATCATTGTCATCTCAGAGAAATCCGGAGATTTGCGTTTCTGCTATTGCCAGAACATTTCACGTCAATAGAGAAACAGCTGTAGAATGTCCTGTTGTTTCTATTATATGGCCAACATTTTAGAGTATAAAGACTAAGAGACTCAATTTTTATACGCAGTCAAAAATTGGAAAAGCATAAAGACGAAAAAACTCAATTTTATGCAAAATAAAAAATTGGTACTTTTTTTAAATCACCAGTATACCAGTGATAGTACCACTAGTAGTAGTAACACTCGGACATCAGTTTAAATACCCTGCTTCTGAGTTCTAGTGCAGTATCACCCCTTGTAACATTTTACAAACGACAAGAATTCACGGATTTCTTGAAGAATTGAGAAATATGAGTTATAATTCAAGTCGTGTCTGAAAAAAACTGCCTTTTAATTTGGCTAAGTTGGCAGCTTTGCGATAAAGCATATTTATCACTGATTAATAGCATGGCAGACAGGCGGAATGATATTTAAAAACGGACCTGCCTGTAGTGTCCTTGCACCACCTGTAAATTTACGCAAGTGCAAAGTTACCTCTTTAGTTGAGAGTTCACCTTTTGCATATATTTTTGATGTGTGTTTCTAAAGAGGGTATCTCTATTCTATACCCTTTACAGAACATTGTACCTTTGGCCTGACTTTCTGTTCCGTCTAACCAAACGTGGGAGAAACTTCTTCAAGAACTGCGACTACGTCCACAAAGTGGCTGAGGAAATCATAGCCAAGCGCAAGAAGTCTATGGTGATTTCTAATCTAAAAATTCTATTACGTTACGCTTGCAATCATATGGCTGTAAGATGCTGTGTCAGAGAGAAATTTACTTTCCTTAACACTTTAAGGACGTAACAGACACTGTGTCTGATCAGCATCAAAGCAGAGGCTATTTTTCAGCCCATTTCGAATCATCTTACAACAAATAAGAAATACGGGTTTGTAAACTTTGTAGAATGCATGTTGTTACAGGCCTTTCAAAGTTTCTGGTGTAGCGAACAGAATCTAAAAAATCTGTGTAAATATTGAAGTTATGCCCCCATACAGCGCATTCTGGGTGGTTGGCGGGTGATTGGTGTGATTTGCTCCTATATTCCTATCAAACATCTGTCATTCTGATCTCTCCTTCTTTTTTGTGTTTGTTAATCTCTTGTAACACCTCTAATCTTAATCACGTATGACCTAATTTTGTTGCAAGCACTATGAAACTCTTACTAAAACTAAAACGGCACATCCTCAAGTAATGTCAAATGACCGAAATGTGCGTCCTCTGAAAGTGAATGTCTCCAGTTTCTCCATTTGTTAATGAGTTCTTGTCATTTTCAATAGCGTTTGAATGTGTTACCTGTTACGACTCTGTATGTTCCCCTTATCTGCTGAGATTTTAATTTAAAATAAACACTCTGACCAGGGGAATAAATATTTAGTGATGTGGGGTCTCTGTTGCAGTGGACTGTAAGGTGGCACATTAGCCTTGACTTTACTTTCTAACTTAAATATTCATGACATAGTGAATTACAATGATTTCTATCATGTCCCAAAAATGGGAATCTCTCATATTATTATTGAAAGGATTATAATCTCAATCAGAGTTTTTGATGGGAACATTTTTCTTCTTTTTTTTTCTTTTGATAGTAATAATTTTTTACCTTTACAGTCCTTTCTCTCAATAGTCAAATGTACCTTTGATCGACTACTGCATGCTTGTAATAAGTTGATCTAAATATTATATTTTTAATGGAATCCTTAAAAAGAACATTGCCTGCATCTGATTTCATATATAACGTTTAGGAGGAAGAAGAGGGACCTTCAAAAGGCAGACATTTGGACTTTTTGGACATTTTGCTCACAGCAAGAGATGAAGACGGGAATTCTATGACCACCAAAGAGATAAGAAATGAAGTAGACACGTTTATGTTTGCTGGTGAGTTTAGGTTATCTGTCATCGGTAGAAGTATATCACTAGTATGTAAATAAGATGATCATATAGCTTTGTTTCACTGATTCTGTAAAGCTGTTTGATTCAGTTCAGAAATTGTTCTAAGTAAAAAGAACCGATCTCTACCTACCAAATGTATGAGTAGTATGAAAATTTTTTTTTTTTTAAGATGTGGACATATGGGTGTTTCCACACCCCCATCAACACAATTTAGATCGTAAGGGAGGCTGGCTTCCAACACTGCCTTTCAGGGCCAGTTTGGGCTGAGAGGAATGCAACATTTGAACAGAATGACGGAAATACTCAGTAAATATCCTCCCCTCCGAGGAACCGAACTCAAGTCTCCTGTTTGCAACAAAAAAGCAACTAACTGTGCTACACCACAGATGTTGGTACCTAGTATGAGAGCATGTTACTAGATAGATTTTGCATTGAGGGTTCATTATGAAAATGTTTATCATATCTACTAAAATAAATCTGTTTAGGGGCTCTCGTGGCTTGGCCTCTCATTCAAAGGTCTCGGGTTCGAATCCGGGTAGCTACCGAAAAATTTTCTGCTCTAAAATTGTCTACTTTCACCTCTTTTCCTGCTCTTTAGCAATGTTCTGTCGTCTGCTTTCGTCTCCTCTTTCTGCCCCCACCCCTTCACCTCCTTTGCCCCCTCCTTTGGGTTCCTGACTCTTTCTGCAGCCTTTCTACTCTGCTAGTCCTTGTCCTCTTCTTACTGCTGTCTTTCAGCCACACCCCTGATCTTCTGGTAGGAAAGATGTACTTTTAGCCTTCTCGGACAATGGTCAAAAAATCTCGGAGGGCTTGTGTGCAAGTTGTGCACGTTAAAGATGCCTTGGTGGTCTAAAATCGATAAGAGTAGGCTTCGGCTGCCACCCGCGCAAAATTCAAAATTTCCCACCAACTCAAAAAGTTTAGTGTGTCCTGCGCACTCATATGACCTTATGCATTTGCAAGCGCGTAAAATACTTACCAAATTTTTCTTTTTAAAATGTTCACCTTTGAACAGCTTTGATCTGTTTCTATTGATCATTTTCATTATTCAGTAGGTTATGATGAAAAGGTTCTCGTTTTGAAAATGAGATAGCTTGTTTCTTCAGTTCATTGATCACAGCAGCTACTTTTGTGAAATTTCATGTCCTGTGAAATATATATGACTAAGTGGGTCTTTTTTTGTATTTGCTCAACAACTTGATGATTGTTTGGGTACTTTTTGAAACCTTATTAGCAACAAAAGGAAAAAAATCAGGGGGGGGGGGTGGATGTTGGTCTGATCTAGATGATAAGTAATGCTTTAGGCTCTTTGCTTTGTCATGAGGTCAGCACTCACAGAAAGCTACCCCATTTTTTCCTCATTTCGCCCAACTACACATAAATATTTGGCTATATGAATTGACAATTTCTGAATAGCTGACAGGTTGCCGTATTGTAGGTCTGCCATGGCTCTGTAATGGTTAACTTCAATGAGCAGACCTTCCATTACTTCCAAGGATGTTATTGTAAAGTCTAAGGAACTTTAAATCTGAAGGATCAAAGACCCGAGACTTCCACTTTATTGTTAACTCATAGCCAGTCGTCTGTATCCTGCCTGTAGGCTCTGTAACTCCTTATCTCCTGCAAACCACCCCTAGAGGCTTTGGGTTGGAATCACTGTGCTGGCATCCACTGTCAGTGGCTCAGGAAAATTCTGTTACTACAACGACAACATCCCCCCCCCCCCCCCCAGGGCAGTGCCACTGACTGTAATGTCTTTAGGCCATTCCCAAAGGGGGACATTTCTCGTTCAAGTACAGTAGAATTGTAAATGGGCTGATTCATCATATCATGCTCATAACTGTGCCTGATCTACAACGGGGAACTGCTGCTTTTTCTTTCCTAATCCTTACTATCGTCATTTTCCTCTACTTCTTTTGTATGTTTGTCACTCTCTTGTGACCCGCTATTTCCGAGGTGCCTTGATAGTCAAGCAGATCTTGAGCTGTTCAAGCTTGAGAGGTGAGCAGAGTAAGTCTGATTCCCTGTAAAGACTTCTCTGTAGACACCCACCCCTTGATGCTCATATGACCTTATGCAGTTGCGAGCGCTGTAAAACCCTCTACTATGACTAACGACAACATTATGTTAATTTTTTATTCTGGCATAGTGGGAAAATCCTTTCCAGAGATTTTGAGTCTGTTCTTATTGGGTTTATGGGGAGGGGGAGGGGGGAGGTTGTTCTTTTGGTTTATGAGATGTCATCTAGGTGTATGTTTAATACTTTGGCTATAATGTTTCGGCCCTCATAATCTTCATTAAAAAAAAAAAACACGTCATAACCCCCTTTAAATAAAGTCTCTCATCTCTATCCCTGCTGTTCTTTTCAGGACATGACACAACAGCCTGCAGCATGCCTTGGATTCTCTATGTCCTGATCCAACATCCAGAGTACATGCAGAAAGTGCAGGCAGAAATTGATGCTCTTTTGGAAGACCGGGAGTCAGATCACATTCAGTGGTCAGTTCGCAATCTAGCTACCAACTTTTCAAAACCATAAAAACGAACTATGTACGCGGCAGGTCAAGATCTTGGACAGTGGACAAGTAACCTCCCTCCAAACTCTTCGCGCACACTTTTTTTGCATGTATAAATTCAAACTGTACGAAGCAGAACTGCGACAGAAATGTCAGTAATAACTTCGAGGCTTCACTCTTTATTTTTATTCACGCATCCTGTTTTTAAAGTTTATAATATTTTTTTTCTTTCACATCAGCAAGTCTGCAAGGAGCTATACTAGAAAAGAGTATTTCCAATACAAAAACGTAATTGTGTAATCAGACTCTCAAAAGCATACTAAATACATTTTATACTTACTGGTTGGCAGCAATGTAATTGTCAAGGACAGTTTACTTTTTTGTGTTTACCTCTTATAGTATTGAAATATTAATCAACTTGGTTTTCTTCGCCGTACCTGCGGACTGGCTGGGATTGAGATCTTATTTAGTGGCCATCAATTCACTACAACAAAACATGTTAGATTTTTAATGAGAAAGGTTTGCATTTCAATTTCCTCGGATTGCAGTGAAGATGTGGGAAACCTTGCCTCAAAATTTGGTGGAATTCCGGTCACATTCAGAGATTTTTCCTCACGAATAAACCAGATTATTTTAAAAAGGGATTTTACATTCAAACATGTTTAAGAAAAATCAAAATCAAATTACACCTTGAGTGCTTTACTGTTGCATGGTGTCTTCAGCTTCTTTTTTGTTTTTTTGTTTTTGTAAAGTGTTTTACGGCGCTCGCAACTGCATAAGGTAATATGAGCGCGCGGGACACACCTAATATTTTTAGTTGGTAGGAAATTTTGAATTTTGCCTGGGTGGCGGCCGAAGCCTACTCTTATCGATTTTAGATCACCAAGGGATCTTTAACGTGCGCAACTTGCACACGGACCCACCGAGATTTTTCGCCCTTGTCCAAGAAGGCTAGGTGTAGATCTTTCCTACCAGAAGATCAGGGGTGTGGCAGAAAGACAGCTGTAAGAAGGAGTCAAGGAGTAGCAGTAGAAAGGCTGCAGAAAGAGTCAGGAGCCCAGAGGAGGGGGCAAAGGAGGTGAGGGGGTGGGGGAAGAAAGAGGAGACGAAAGCAGACGACAGAACATTGCTAGAGAGCAGGAAATGAAGTGAAAGTAGACAATTTTAGAGAAGAAAATTTTTCGGTCGCTACCCGGATTCCAACGCGGGACCTTTTGAATGAGAGGCCAACACCTTAACCTCTCGGCCACGAGAGCCCCTTGTCTTCAGCTTCTTTGAAATAAAGAATATGAATTGACACTGGCAATCAGTTTTGTGCTTATGAAAGGAATCTGGGAAGCATGGGTCAGAGTAGACACTCATGCACCTTTTGATAAGCTCATGTGCTCACACAAACATACAAATATACTCACAAGTACAGGTAAACACTGATTTGCATGCTCATTCTCATGGCACCTTGGCAGTGGTGTAGATGAATATTTTTTTTTATATTTTGTCTTTGAGTCTCAGAATATTTGTTTACTCAAGCTTTTTTGTATCTTAAACTAAAATGACCATGATTGAGTGTTGAATGATATAAATGCAAAATGCTGTGCTTAAATAAAACATTTAAGCTTACTTTCTTTTAACACCAGGGGCGAAGCGTCTATATAATCAAATAATCACTGCTTCCCTTTCTAATTTTGAAACATTGTCGCTGTCAATTCATCCTTAAACGTAAACCTCATAAATTAAATGAGGCTGGAATAGAGTTGAAGGGAACATGTGCATGGCAGTCAAAGCTGTTTCATTGCCACATATACCCTGTTGACCCCTTTGGGGCCACAGTTAAAATCAATCACAAGCCCTGAATAAGTAAGCTAACTAACACTGGTCGAGTCTACCTCACAAATGTGAGGGGAACTAACTCTTAATAATCTCTTGACTGCTGCTTGTGCTTGTTTTTTTTCCTCGACTTTTTACCGTCCTATAATCAGATCGTGACCTCGATTATGACACCAGCTCCTGGCCGCGAAAGGCTAACAAAAACAGCCAAATTTGAAATTTTAAAAATGATAATTGTCATGTTCTACCAAAGAGTTAGACTCACTGGTAGATCTATAACATATAGATCTAGTACTGACATCTCTGCTTCTTTGCTTCGTGTTTATGTATTCACATCTAAAGTTATGTTTAATTTTAGTGGGAACTGATATTTAATAAGATACTTTCCCGATTATTTTGGCGGTTGAACATACAATATGAATTCCGGATTTGTTTTCATTCACAACTCAGAGTCGCCGCCTCGAGTAAGATTCTTGTGTGATATCTACAGGCCATATCTGGTCCCATTTCACTTTGATTACCCTGTCAAACAAGTCAGCCTTCGCCCCTGTTTAACACATTGTTTATGTTTAGCCTTTATGCTTTTATTATTTTGTAAAAGTTCTGAAAATGTTTTAATCTGAAAAGCCTGTCCACCTACATTATACACATCATATTTGTCTGTCTGTCTACCTGTTTATATATCCCTCTGTTTCTTAGTCTATTATCTATTTATCTGCTCCTCATTTGTGAGGCGTCGTGAAAAAAAACCAGTCATGATTCTTAATAAAGACTAAACATATATTCATTAAGTAGATTATCTCCTGAGTAAATGAGCACTTATTGATTTCATGTTTACTAGAAACTGAGATATAAATATTTTAAATTAATCACTTCCCGGTACCCAGTTGTAATAAATCTAGGTTTGAAATTGGGACTGTTCATTGTCTGCAACACAGGTGATATTTAAAAATAATGTTTAAAAAAAGCAACAACACATTACTACCATAGCTGTTTTTTAAGTAGTTTTATTATAAGAACATAAGATATGGTCTTGAAGTTTTTAATAATGCACAGAATTCATTTTACCTTAAAAAATCAACATTTTTACTTAACTTTACTCCGCGATATCTCAGCTCAGGACTAGTGCTTCAAACAGGTTTTCCTGTGGTGCCTCACATTTCTGTACAGTTTAATGATCAAAGTGCATTTAGTTTATTTAAAAAGGTAATTTTCCATACAACAAGATAGTATCTTGTCAGAGTCCCTCAACGTATTCTCCAATCTTTCAGGGCAGACTTACCCGAGCTTCCTACCTTGGCCATTTGCATCAAGGAGGCATTGAGGCTCTACCCACCCGTGCCCTTTATCCAGCGAGTCTTACATGAGCCTATTGAGGTGGAGGGAAAAACTATCCATGCCGGATGCCAGGTCACTGTTCCCATCATACACCTGCACAGGAACCCGGAAGTGTGGGACAGACCGGATGAGTTCTGGCCAGAGAGGTTTTTGCCCGAAAATATGAAGGATCTGCAGCATTTTTCTTACATACCTTTCTCAGCTGGCTCCAGGTACAAGACCCAGTCTCAACTGTACGGGCTGTGAAGTCAGATTTTAACTCTTTATCTCCGGCAAGCTGCTTTCAGCGGCTTGCGGTCGGAACCGCCGTGCACATTCTTTTATGACGACTTCGGCATCAAATTACTTTTCGACAGTTGACGAAAACAGGTCTCTTTTATCAGAAGTTCATTCATTAGATGAAGAACTATCAAAATAGGTTTCCTTGTTTCGATTTAATTACCTATTTAATGACATTTTTGTCGTTTTTAGATTTAGCACCGAAAAAAAGGCCCCAGGGTAGTGGGTTTACCCCCCTCGGAGATAAAGAGTTAAACTGGCCTTGTTGGTTGGGAAGTAGTTAAACATCATTTATTATCTGTTTTGGAAGTTTGGTCCACTGATTTTTTTTTTTTATTCTTTCCTTGCTGTTTAACCCCTTGACTGCTAAACGTATGTGCAACCCACATGCTAAGGAAGATTTCATTGTATGCTAGATGTCAGAGGTCATAATATTTAACTCGCTCACTGCCATGCCCAAACCGTGTCAGATGATCCGCGTAGGCTGCAACCTGCCAAACCCGAAACCCGTCGGGTGCGTTTTTACTACTATTTTTCAAACATTCCCCATGTTTCGGGCAAACAGTCGGAAGTATGCGACATAAGCCAGTTTAGTTTCAATTCCGCATTGTTGCAGTAACTTCCCTTGAATAAGTTACTTAAAAATGGGACTTTTTCTAACCCTCCTGAAACGATCTAAAAACTCCTAACCCTCAGTTACGATGGCAACGGGGTCTCAATGAAGTCAGAACATTTGAATTGATAGACCCATTTGTCTATAAAGTGTCAGATTTAGATCTTTTTGAAGATGATAGCGATGATGAAAACCATCATACGGAGTTGATGAGTATAGGAAAGGAAATAAGAGAGTTGTGGACGCAAGTGAAGATGAGAATTGTGATCTAGATCTAAGCCTAGACCTAGAATCAGGTGTTCCCCATGCTCAGACCAATGATCCGACGCTTCCAAGTCCCAGTTCAGGCTCATTACGCTAACGTCAAAGATCACACAACGTAGATTTAGACCCAAATGATAGGATTACAGCTGACACAGACCCTCCTAGGCCTACACAACAAACTTCATATAGTGGCACCCCTCCCCCTGGGGCCATGCCCCGCCCTGCAACCACACACCCTGATGTTGATGCTCAGGATGGGTAGACTGATGACTTGAATGATTTTCTAGTTACATAAAAATTTGTTAGATATCTTTTCATAGTGACTCTTCAACGTTTGTCATTTGATGCAACATCTTTTTCTTGCGGAGACAAAGATATAAAGGCATGCATATCGACTGAATGTACCTAGCACGTATTTGTTATGTAAAAGGTTTTTTTCACGATTTTGCCAGGTATTCACATACTCATAAAATTTCATATGGTAAAGGTATCACAACATTTTTTTTTGATTTGTTGAGTATGTTTCAATGTTATTGTTTGTGAAAAAGTTCAATGCTGTACACATAATAATAATCTCACAGTGAGGTTTTGAAAATGGTCTCAAAAGCCTGGCATTCCTCGGTTACCCTGCCGAGAATTGCCTGGCAGTGAGTGAGTTAATTGGTCGCTTATAAGCACAAGGGGGCTATCCCGAAAAATGCTGTTTTGAGAAAATAGAAGGTAACATTTTTGGCCCTTGTTCAGTTTCTTTAAAATACAAGGAGAGTTTCGTCAATAACCAAACAAATATACACACCAATGAAACTAAACTTCTCCTATAGGCTATGCCCACTTTTGGTGTAGGTCAAGATTTCTGGGTTAGCCCACTTGTCCTAAAAAGCGACCAGATAGCGGTTGTCTTTTATTGTAAGAGATGGATCTGTAAAATTAATATCATTAGACAAAGAAATGAAGAGATATTTTTGTCTATTGGCAAGACCTGTGCAAAACAAGCCATAGTTATCTTAAAGGTTACAATTACAAACTTGATGGAGAACCCCAATTTGCATGGTAATTTCTTTAAAACATTTCTTTTTAGATGTTTCTTTTAAATTAATTGTAAGTACTGTAAGAAAGCCAATTTTTTATTTGATTTTTTATATATCAATCCTTTTTTTCAAATAGGAACTGCATTGGCCAGAACTTTGCCCTGAATGAAGAAAAAGTCTTGATTGCCAGGATGCTAAGGAGGTAAGATAAATAGCATCACAAAATTTTGACCTTGTTTCTGTATGACTGAGAGGGAATTCTTATAACACAAAGTAAAATTTTCTTATTAAAATTGGGATGAAGTACAGTCGTAATTGTCCCAAGATGGCCGCTCATTATCAAGGAGAAAAGTGGTTGTCTTAGACAAGTGGACTTCTTGGAGAGCAATGTGATAATATTAACAAATTGCAAGTGGGAAGTGGTCATTTATACAGGTGATTATAATGGACATATGACCATCAGGGCAGATAGGACTGTATGTCTCTGGGTATGTGCCAGAGCCTTCTCAGACTTCACACTTCCTTCCACATTGTCCCTGAATACTTTAATTTACCGTTTCAATACTTTCAGAAATATTAGATATCAGGTGCATGTGCCAAGGTGTTCTTCTATATTGTCCATATGTGTCACAACGCGCTGGAATCGGGCGCTCGTCAATATTTGAGCTTATGGAGTTATTGATATCATCTGAAAGCTGATATGTTTTCCATGCTTCCAATGAAATAAATATCTATTCATCTTGAATAGAACCCAAGATATCTGCATTTGAAAGAAGTGAGGTCGCCTGGTTTTAGTGGTGAAATTAGCAAGAAAAGGGCTGCCAAAGTTTGGTAACAGAAAATGGCTGCCAAAGTTTGGTAACTCCAATAGCTAAAGTGTCTTTAAAAACTGAAAAATGACTTTTTTTGTGCCTTTAATCAATGTTTTTCAGTAAAATTCACATCGAGATGTGTTTTTATACAGACATGAAAGAGGTTAAGCCAAAAAAAATATTCGATAAAAATGTCCAAACTAGTGGAAAATGCCTGTTTCTCCGATTTTGTTATTTTGACGAGCGCCTGATTTGACCATGCTGCCTCATTGTTAATTCCTCCCAGCCTGACTCGGCCCAGTGACCGAAATATACTGCTATGTTTGACCCATGATAAGAGATGTGTGCACAACCTGTTCTCTTTCATTGTGAAAACTTTATTTAACAAAGTAGTGTTTTACATGATGTGATGTGGGCCAATGGCCTTAAACAGTATAGCTGGATCCTGCTCGCCAAATCTGAGAGTGGCAATTCGCGATTCAGTCGGCTTCAAAGAATCATGAGTTCGCAAGAGCTCGTGGAACACTAAGCCTCGGGCTCGTTGTATGCATGAAATGGAACAGTGTCATAGCAACGCCACTTCGCGAGTCCCACTCTTGTTGCCCCGCCATTCTCTCTGCCCCCCCCCCTCCCCCAATTTTCATTGTGCTGCTCTACTGACCTCAATTAGCTACCTCATAAATTCAGAACTCTCCCCCCATCCCCCCATGATTCACTAAAACAATGGCTTCATAAAATACCTTCTGTCTATTGGTTGGAACCCGTTCATTTTGTTTTAATATACTATCTTTTGTAAAATAAAGGGAGCCATACTAAGTGTTCCGTTCCATTCTTGTACTCGCAACTCGACTCGCGACCCAGCAGCAGGTTACAAACAAGCTGCTAGGTGGTGACGGCAACAGGCGAGTGAATCAGAAGGTGATACTGTTCCGCCTTCCGCTGAAGTGAATCGAGATTCGCGTTCCGCAGGGAACAGTGGCAATTCAGTTCCGTTCTCGCGCTCACGACCCAGCTGTATTAAACACTGAATAAGACTTACTTACTTGCTTACTAACTTACTAAGGTGTTCTTCTAGAGAATTAATATTATAACGTTACAGGATCCATTTAGTGCTTTTGCAATTGTACTTTTTTCTTTTGGCATTTGACACTGCCATTGATTTTACAAGGGTGTAAAATTTGTTATACCCTTTGCGACCAGGTATGACATGGAGCTTGCCAAAGATGGACCCCCTGTGGCGAGGAACCCTCAAGTTGTACTGAAGACGGAGCACGGAATGTGGCTCACCCTCAAGAGGCGTCAGTTGTAGTCTGCCCAGATTGTGTACAGATACTGTGAGTTATGGGTTGTAAGTGACAACCTTGTGCTCAATGTGGACTTGCCGCTAAACAAGATGTCTTTTTGATCTAATGTGTGCTGAGGAGAGGTGTGATGTCATGAATACTGCAGGAGCAAGAACACTTCTGTTTGAAGAGTATAGGACATGGCATTTGGAAGATGCACATTCTGGTTAGTATACAGAAGACGCACTGTTTTAGTGCTCTTAAATAACTTTTATACATGAGGGGGTGAGATGCAAAACCCTCCAAGCGACATTTTGGAAAAAAATCGAGATTTTTTTGCTTATTATTGCACATTGTTACCGGTTATCAGATGTACAAAGTGTTTTTGGCTAAAACCCTACACATACTTAATAAAAGTGGCAAAAAGATCTTCTTTTTATGCCTGTTTGTGCGTAAAGCAGCATTTTAAAAAAGCTGATTTTCTCAAAAGTGCTAAAATGGATGTATCAGGTTTTGCATCTCAGCCCCTCACATGTGTATATTTTTCAAATTGTCTTTTGTCTTATCTGAAACATTCAAACAAACAAAAAGACAAACAACGACATCCATACTCTGGAACAGACAAATTTGTGTTTCTGATTTGTATATAATCATTGAGTGGGCCTCAATATGATCTTTGGTCTTCTGTTAGACATATGTGTACACTACATCCTTAAAGAGTGAAATCTTGTCTTTTCTTGTGTCCTATGATGTCAGATTCTGTTATAGGGCTGTGTCCTGACTTACTTAAAGATTTTTCCCTTTAGCTTACTTTGAATGGAGGAAGGAAAGGACATTTTTAGCTTTCTCAAATTTTGAAATTGTAAGAAGACAGAGCTAATAATCTCTGCTTTGTGCACTTTTGTTCTCATGGTGTGGGTCGTTGTCTTGGGGGGAAGGGGGGGGGGGTAGTTAAATTAGTCATCTTGACTGGTCAGAAATATTGGTATCATTAAATATCACCTGTCAGTTAGTTTTCCATCACTCTCTGGATTTCTTTCTAGTCTTTATATATATTTCAATTTTTTGCTTATATTGATAGCTGTTATGCGTCATTGCTTGCTGTAATGTGAAATGGTACTCCATGGTTAAAAATTCTGGCAAGTCTTCATGCCTGCTTACATGCTTTGGAAATTGATCCTGATTAATGTATAAGAAGGATGTTTGGTAAAGAATTGTACAAGAATAAGAAGTTGGTGTTTGCCCTAATGAGCTATTTTGTTGTTTGGTTATAATTGCTTGTATCTGCTGTCTAAGGGATTTGAGATATAATGCTTTATCAGGGATTTTTAAGTGGCTTGTAGTACAATATTTATTATGTATATTGAATAATGAACTCTGATGTAAGATTTTAAAGTCATTGAGAATGGCATTTTTGTCTTCATCAATTTCCTACGTTTTTTAAAAAAATCCATCTTTTCTGTGACCTTGAATTTTGAACAGAAAATTATCCCACTACCAAGTTGTTTTTTGCTGAAATTTTTAACATATGAAATCTTTCTCAAAAGGTTTTCGTTTATTTCACTGTGATGTCATGTTTTCTTATTTTCAGTGGTATTTTGGTATTTTAACGACCACAAATAATGGGGTGGTGGGGGATCCTTTCTTACTTATAGTCTTTTTGTTTATAAATTCTATTTCCTCTCTTGTCTTACAGTCTTTTTGTTCATAATTGTATTTCTTTTATAAATTCTGTTTCCTCTTTGTCTTACTTAAAGTTTTTTATATTTTATTTATAATACAATCTATTTCCTCTCTTGTCTTACAAGCATCAGTCACTTTTTGTTTATAAATTCTACTTCCCCTCTTGTGTACAGATTATGCTTTCATTGTTATGCTTTAATTTACCAAATTAATATTGACACCTTTTTTAA